GTTTATATGAATTGATTTGATTTGTGGTTCATAAATAGAATAAAATCATGATTGTAACTGATTTTAAATTACATTTCACTAAAACACAACTGTATTTGACTCTAAATTGATGAGCTTGATGGCCGCCATGAAGTGTAACGTTTCACAATGGCTTGGTTAGAGGAATTTAATGTCAGTCTAACTCATTTGGAACCCATTGTATGTGACTTCAGGTGGAAGATCAAATGAAGGTGGGACCTTTAAAAGTCTGTATGAGCGGCAGTTGTAACAGCAGTAGCAGCAAGAGACAGCATAGTAGGTCAGCAGTGGAAGATTGAGAAAGATTTAAAAGGCGGTTTGAAATATATGTTGCAGCGAAAGAGTGAAATGTTAGTGTATTGTCGACTCAAGTTGGGCCGCAACAACTCTGAAAAATCCTTAAAAACATACTTTCAACTGTCAACATAGAGATTGTGGTACTTGTTCTAGTGAAAACAATTGAGAGACGTGTGTCACTGTTTCTTAAAAGGGAGGCTAGCTGCTGTTGAATTTCTTTCATTTTTTAAAACATTAGATCAACACAAATTCCGTCATCTTAATTGTACTGTGGTGGAGGCAGAGATGGATGGATAAAACCAAAAATAATCTGCATGTCTGGATACCACTAGCGGTAAAAGCTTTGGGCGCACAGACCCTTTGACTCCAACAGACGTCTACATAAGTCTTTCTGGCTTATGGTCAATTGGATGAAACAGAGACTAATAAGAAGAGGCTCCAAACCTGACCAAGAACAGACTTTAAAAAACCCACAAGTTCTCTGACAGGACTGAGTCATATAATAACTGCATGCATTATTACCTGGGATTGCCACAAATAAGACCAACAGCTGCCACTTGTAATTACAAAACACCCACAGAGCCCAGATCAGAGCAGACTCCGAGCTCTGCCTAAATCCACAGACAACCCTCAGCCTAAGTCATTTGTATGCCCCACAGTCATCATGCCAGCCTTTCTGCGATCAAACCTACACTGTTACTGCTCTCTTATTTCTGAGCAACTCAAGCAACAAGGAAAGTCATATTACCCAACGCCATCCGTCCAAAACATGCAAACCAACCAACCACAACTGCAGTTGCCATGTCTGTGCAGACCACAAGTCTTTACTGCGAAAATAACAATATCCCCAACTCCCCAGAACCACAGTAACCTCAGAGAAAATGACATTTTTTTCTTCTCTCTCCATCCCAGTACTTAGTGAAATACAGGGTAGGGATCGCACAAAAGCTGCACATTACTCCTGTCTGTATGTCAACATGTTGAAAATGCCATTATTCAAGTCAAAGTCAACTTTAATGTCAATCTTTCAGTTTGTGTGTACAGACAGAGATCGAAATGACGTTTCCAAAAATCCCGAATACAAAAATAAAAGTATACAATATACAGATATGTATACAAATATCTATAAAATATGTATATCCTATATACACAATCAACAGACACATTTACACATATGCACACATTAAGATAAAAAAAACACAAGAATCAATATATACAAAATAACAGTCACTTCACTATCAACATCTTTGGTGCAAGATTGTCCATAGATGTGCATTTATTGCAGATTGTCCATAGCAGCGTAAAAAAAAAGT